GGAAATGGTCGTCGAATCACATTACGCGGTACAGATTTAGTATTTGCTAGTATCGACAATGTTTTTATTTATCCAACTCTTGATGTTGACCGATTACGAAATGCTCTTAGCCAAACACTTTCTTTCTTACATGAAACACATTTCAAAATTAAATTACATAATGAAAACAACTTATCCAGAGATAAGCGAAGACGTACTCAAAAAAAAAGGGAAAGCTAGATATATAGAGCTCTTCTGTTACAAATATGACAGTATGTTGTATGAATTCACACCTTCAGCTTCAATACGGATGTCTTTAAATAAAAGTCAACTGATGGTCACATCCATCTGTACATTTACGAGACTAGCCGATGAGTAGTCCTGATTGAGATAAAACCAAAAAGTAACATTGTAGACTTGACCACGGGTGGCAGCGAAGGACTGATAGATCGAGGTACTTTGCCAAGCACACAAATCGTAATAACATTTACTTGATGAATGACACCCACCAGTGAGTAAACCGCAGCTTGATCCACAGAAACCAGAACATCCCGCTGCTGTCCATCCAGTGAGTGATGAAGTACTCTCAAAATTTCCATTTATCAGCATTTCCGTCTACGTTGGATCTCGGACGGATACATCATCCAGATACCATTCATAATAAAAGTTCGTTTGAAAGAAAAATGTGAGTGTCAGAGATGCCGATGTGGTTGCCCAATATGAATAGATACGTCAGGTCCACACACCAGACGTTACAGTAGGATGATACATAATTTTATTAGCAATAACAATTTGTGTGACACCTTCTGCAAATTTTCCGTGAAATAAAATAACACCATTATCACTACTTCGATGAATTATCATATTTCCATCTGAATCCGCATCACTACCAATAGCATAAATCATATTATTATATAGAGATAATGTTGTAAAATAGCTTTGTCTTATATTTGAACTAAATGACCATGATTGACTATTATCATCACTGATATAAACTGGTACATTTGGTAGAGGTGTATATCCAGGAGGAGTGAAATATGCATGACTTGAAACGAGACAACATAATGATAGGCGAACAATAGATGGTGCACCAAGAAAAATCAATGAGGGTTCACAAATATAATGTAGAATCTACTATCGGTTTATATTCCATCATATATAGAAATGTCAGAATAAATATGGTCGAAAAAATGAACCAAGGAGAAAGCATCATTCTTGCCATTATAAATCTATACTCGTTCGTACAGGCATCTTTACCTTGATATTTATTTATAGCTCGCTAGACGTCATATTGTGTTGACTATTTTCTTACTTTATCTGTTCGTAGCTTTTCGATTTGTTGTTGTCAACATTCTTACATACTGACGACTTTTACCCATTTTGCTTCTTTTTTTGATACTTCAAGTAGGAGTAAATAGTGTGATAACTCCGAAATATTTCTCTTGATATACTATACATACGAAATTCTATGTGACAATTTTATTGAGTCAGTAATTTAGCTATTATCCAATTGCAAAACACCTTCATCCTTCAATAGCGAAGATCTCCATTATTTAAATCAAAGCATCTTTTATATATACGCAATTTTCTTTCCGCGAATGTACAATCGATATTGCGGAAGCTTGTAATTTCAATTTATTTATCAGATTTAATTATTTCACATTTGCAAAGTTTTCTTCAATATCTTTTTTCCATCCTTCTAAAAACTTCTCTTTTCCTTCTCCTTTTGGAATTCGAAATGCCACTTCTGCACCTCCATCTTCTCTTGTCCAACTTCCATCTTTTCCTTTAACAGGATTCAATTGAAATATTCGAAAATAAAAGTTGTATGATGTAACTGTATGAAATCGACATTGATTTGTCATACCAAAATTAACTTGATTTGCCCAATCATATTTGAAATTTGAATTAAATACAACTTCATTCGTACCCAATACAAAATTCAAACGACCATCCTTTGTAAGTTGGCTTGTTAAGACATCAGCTGAAACAATCCATTTTCCAAGAAAATCTTCATTACGAATCGTTTTAATTGTTTATCGAATTACCTTGGCAATACTAAGTAAAGAGAGAGGATCTGGAAAATCAGAAGATACTGCGGACATAATTGAATTGCCTACATGACCATATGGTGCTAATGAATCACATATACCTCGATAATTAACTACAATACGAGCACGTTGGATATGTTCGTCCGTCGTAAGGAATAAATGTTTATTCATAGTAAGAATAATATAAGCACAGAGTGTGTCATGAATTGTCACTTCATTATTACTTTTACCAACAGTGTGCAATTTAGTGAGTTGGTCAGAAGAAAAAGACAGATTGAGTGAATCAGTTTCTGATTTTTCCTTGGTAAAACAATCAAAGATAGCCTCTTTCTTTTCCGCTTTTTCAGATATATCCATAATAAGTGGCAAAGAAAAGTCTAGATTTTCTTTGTTTAATAAATCTCGTTCAAAAACGGGACGAGGTGGTAAAGGATCAAGATGTTGATAGACTCGAGAAAGATCATTTATAAAATGAATATTTGAATCAGCATCACCAACCATATGAGAAAAACTTGTACCAAATACATATTCGTCACTACGAATTAAATGAGTAACTTTAAATCGAAGCAGTGATTCAGTTTCAGGTTTGTATTGAACTGAATCAATAAATGGTTGAACTTTTGTTTTATCGTCAACAACAACAGGTAGATCTGGCCAATATTCCAGTTGATCATTTTCAGTATAAGTAAATGGAATAGGATTGTCAGAGCATTCAATGATATATTGATCATCATCGACAACAATACGACCAGTTAGAATTGACCAGAAAGAAAGTGTTTGGCTAAGAGCATTTCGTAATCGGTCAACATCAAGAGTTGGATAAATAAAAACATTGTCGATACTAGCAAATACTAAATCTGTACCGCGTAATGTGATTCGACGACCATTTCC